GTGGGTCATCCTCCTGGCGGGGGATCTAACTCATGCTGTAGTGGCTTTGGAGAGCTTCATATTGTGGTGCTTCAACCTGTTGCGCCACCAGGGAGAGCTCCCAAATCCTCTGTTTCAATAATCACGAACTTAAGTACTGTCATTCTCTGACACTGAAGGTTATACTGAGAATGAAGCAACCATTTAAACATAATGTCATTTGTTTATATGTAATAAATACAGTTTAACTCATTTTTTTATCTTTTTGAATTTTTAGCCAAATGTACCATTTTGTACCCACATCTGAATTAACATACTAGTCACCAAATGTAGGCTACCTGTCTACAAATTAGAACTAGAACTTCCCAACTAAAAATCTATAAATGTTTGTGATTTGCAGAGAAAATCTAAGTTTTAAATTTCCCTGCCCCCTCCCTCACAATAGTTACTGTTTTCCAAGAAAGTTTGTGGCCCAAATTTATAGTCTGGAGTCTGTTCCCTCAGAGTAGTTCATCTCTGGTCTTTCTCATCATTGTATTTGGAGGAAGAATTAGAAGAGAGATTAGGAGTTGAGCTCCTAGGTCATGAGTGGGACATAGAGAGTACATAGTGAAATTCAAATGCAACCAACAACTACACTGTCTAATATACAACCTCAAAAAATTTCTTTATATTAAATCTCTAATGTTTTTAATAAAAATTCCTTTTAATATGTTTCTTTGTTAGTTTTATATCCTGATTGAAAATGAAATGTACTGCTTCTGCTGATACTTGTCATTATTCCTCAGAAGTCAGGTCTTAAATCAACACTTCCCATTTGTCTCTCTTGGCAGATGCCCTTTTACCTGGAGTATATCTTGAGTCAATCACTTTAATTTTCAGTGTCTGGAATCAGTGTTAACTCACCACTTGGTGGTGAGTCTTGGTATCGGTTGCCTTTCATGCTTTTTTGTTGGTCCTTTCTATTAAAACTAAAGTGCAGACAAATACCAGGTTTCACTTCTATGTGGAATATAACAAAACAAAGCACAAGACAAAACATAATCTAGATAGCTGAACCAGAAGTAAGATTACCTGATAGTGAGGCTAGTGGTGGGGAGCAAAGTAGAGATGGGGGCCCAATGGTAAAGAATTATGGATCCTTTGGTGGTGGGCAAGATGTGATAACATACATTTAATAGTTGTGAACCTCAATCTGTAAATCATGAACATTGTAATAAACCATTTTTTCTTTAAAAACAAGCAAATGAAAGTGCTTTAAAGTTATCTAAAGCAGGGAACTCTCTGGTGGTGCAACGGGTTAAGTACAGTACTATGAAGCCACTGCAGCAAGAGTTCAATCCCTGGCCAGGGAGGTGACCCACATGGTGTCACGTCTCCTGACCCACCCGCTGCTCTTCTCAGCAGTGTACTTTAGTATATCTGCCTGTTCTTCTCCCAACTGTATCTCTGCACCCCCTGCACCTCTGGCCTATACTCTATTACTATATGTATAAATAATTCCATGAAGCTGAATAAACCTGACATTTGGATGCCTATCCCTTTTGAGTTAAAGCAAACACCAATGTTACTTTTCCAATTTCTTAGCCCTATTATATATATATATATATATATATACTGGAATTATTACAAGAGATTTATATATTCCTTAGGGAAAATAAATACATCTTAGACATACATGTAGTATTCATTTTTCACATCTAAATAGTTGCTGTTGTAATAAGTATGACATACTATTTTATAATGTACCATTTGTGATATATATTTGTGTGCACATATATTTATATATACTATATATACTTATTTTAACAATAATAGCTATGTGCAAGTATATATGTAAGCACATATATCAATGTATGCAAGAGATCCAGTTGCTATTATGAGACATTTATAAACTCTTACATTAGAAGGAGTTTTCCTTTGTTAACAGCTGGTAATCACTAAGCTAAATAGTGGTGGTTCCCATGAGGTCAGCAAAATGAGAAGAAATATGAAAGGGGACAGAAATATGAAGGCATATCTACTTAAATAGATCTCTAACCAAAGAGATTAGTTTTTGTCAGGAAATTGGCTGACGCATCCTTGATTTACCCAGGAGCTATGGAAAACGACTGCTTGATTTAGCATGGGTGTTAAAGTATCCTGTGTCAGCAAACTCACAGGAAGAACTTGTCATTTCTACTGTTTTTTTTTTTTTTTTTTTCCGTCTCGGCTTAAATATGGCACAACACTCAGGTACTCTAGTGTGTCATAATATCTTGACATTTTCCCTGAGAAAAAAATCATAGATTATGAGTCAATGCACAGAGTGTGAATAATAGACTATATCTCTGAGTCTGAAATTTCTGCTTCTAGTTGGTGATCAAAAGGGCATAGCACTTAAGTTGTTTTGCCAGTTTTTACCTGCCTCAACTTCATCTCTCTTTTTTTTTGGTGACAGAATCTCAGTGTTTTTTTTAGGGAATGGTCCATACACACAGATGGGCACATGCCCTTGGATCTGCTCTCAAAAGATTTGTTGGTTATCGAAAAGAAGTTGAATTCATCTCTGGATGAAGTTTTGAACTTAGTTAGAATTAGTCTGGTGCTGATTATGGTCACCTATGTCATCACAGAAAGAGCCTACTTGAGAACAAAGAAACACAGGTGAAATCTCACCAGAAAACAGAAGAGTCTAAAAATATCATTTTGAGTTATGAATCAAACAAGTTGCCTTTGTTGCTTACATGTTTGAGTTACGGAATTGTCACTGGCACATTAAAGAAAACTGATTAATGCAAGGTTGTCCTGAAGCTTCTGATAGAATTTACTAGCTTCTTCAAACTGTTTCTTTCCACATTCCTGGTCAGGGTGCCACAGCCATGTCCCATTATGGATGCTCTCAGTGTGCAGCAGAAGGACTTTTTTTGTCTGGCACACCTGCTGATTTCTAGAGGTGAAACAATCACAGCCATAATGAGGAGGTCACAAAATAGGTGGAGACAGCAGATACCCTGTAGTTCTCCTGGAAAACTTTACTGTTAGACATGGTGAAAAGTGACCTCAAAGTAGAGGGTTCTAAGATACAAACTTGAGGCATTCTTTACAACTGAAAATAAATAGTAAGTGATGCAACAAAGTATAAAAAGATTGTCGATAAAGATACCTCGTAGCTTGGCTGGAGAGTCTAAGAGGGAAGACTATAATAAGTATAGCTTTATGAAGATGGGGTATTTTGATGCGGAACCTTTGATTTTTCTTCCATTTCTTTTTTCTGTGTTTTTCATCATTTTTGTTTCACCTATTGTGTTCTTTTCCAATATCATTCTTTGTCTAAAATTGGACTCACAGAAATGAGCTTGTAATAAGGGGACATGAGAATCCCTAAATTGATCTAATTTTGATTTTCTACTTTATTAATATTTCAGCATATGGAACATGCAGGAGGTATTTTAGCTCACTGGCCCTTCAACTTATTCATGCAGCTACTATTTAATTCTTTACATGGGAAATTTGAATATGCATCTAAAATTGACATTTCTATAGTGTAGAAAATTATTTTTATCTCATTAGAACTTGAGAAACCTTCATATATCATTCCAACATCCAGGGAAATGAAGAAAGTGGGGAGATTTGTATATATGGGAAACATGGTAATAATATTATGATCCATTTATAAGAAAGAGCGATTTCCTTGCCTTCAAATTGATCCTTGATTTTTATCTTCTTGTGATGCTTAATATATAATGAAATGAGATATTTGTTTCTTTATTATCTTTGAATAGAAATAAAATAATAAACTGTATAATAAAATGAACTATCCCCTCCCTCAAGTATATGCAGAAGCTCTTTAACACTTCAAGTAAATTGAACATTTACTATGTACCAATTATCTTATAAGTATTACCTCATTTGGTCTTTAGAACAATTTTCTAAGGCAGAAATAACTGGTCTTCTCATTTTATAAGGGAATAAGCTGAGAACTAGAGAAGCCAAACAATCTGTTCAAAGGATAGTTTGAGGTTTGTCTCAATCCAGAGACCATGCTCCCAACAGTTAGAGAGGGTAGGAAGAGGAACAATGTTCTACCATTATATCACAGATTATTATGGACCCCTGGATTCAGGGATTCATGGGGAGAAAACAAAATAAGTTCTCTTCCCATATTGCTGATTTGAGGTCATTGGGGGTAGCAGAAATAGACAAAGACTAGATGTTAGGGATGAGGTAGTTTTGTCCTGACATGATTTTTGATTCAGTGGGAGCCTTTGCAGTAATTTGCAGAGTTGCTAATGGCTTCTCTCCTTTACTGGTGGTCTGGCAATAGCTGAAGTCTAAGACACACTTGTTTCTCCACATCACCTCTTCATTGCTCCCTCACATTCTACACTCTAAACCACAGTGGATTTTAAGCACCTTGAGCTCATTCTCTCACTTCCATGCTTTACACATCCTGTCATAGCTGGCATATCACATCCCCTAAGTATAACTTATTCCTCCCCTCAGTATAACTGCTCAGGTCCAAATATAATGATAAATATACATTTTTTTTTCCATGAAACTTTCTGTGCTACTCCTGAAGTGATCCAATTTCATTTTGGTTAGGTACGTTTGACCATAATGTCTTGTTTACTTTTATCCCACTTACTGTGTTATAAGATAAAATCCCTATATACACTGATGGAGAATCCACTGAATAAATCCTTATTATGTGTTTGATGTTTGGTCTTTCCACTGGGCTAGAACCATTGTGAGGCAGAAACTAAGTATTTTGTTCACCACTGAATTCCTGTATGACTTTGAGGATACAACATTGTAACATATTGCTTGATAAGGGGAGAGGATGTCCTCTTAATGACTTATTACTTGGGGTATAATGCAATTTTTGTGAATTTTCTCATCATGTGCAATAAGAAAAAACAACCTATAGCAAGACCCAGTATACAATACATACAACTAAAAGGTAACTTTCACAGAAAATTTACATTTCCTATGTGAAGCATACTGACAACTGATTTTAACTTTTCTCTATTTTGTTAAAGAATACTGATCATGGGCCCTTCCTGGTGGCGCAGCAGGTTAAAGCACAGCACTGAGAAGCTAAAGCCACTTCAGCATGAGTTCGATCCCCACCTGCCCCGGAGGTGACCACATGGCGCGGCAGACCTCTCCTGACCTGCCCGCTGCTCCCCTCAGCAGTGTACTTCGTAGATCTGCCTGTTCTGCTCCCCACTCTGTCTCTGGTGAAGCCTCTCACCGCCCCTGAGCCTCTGGCCTGTACACCAGTTCTGTATGCACAAATAAATAAATGTTTAAAAAATAATAAAAAATAAAAATAAATTAAAAAATTAAAAAAAGAATACTGATCATAATCCATTAAACTAATCTCCTGTCTCTCCCAAGATGCTAAAGATCACATTGTAGTGCAGTCAGTAAGATGACTTACTGACTTTGATACATTGGTCCATTCCTGATCCAACCACTGTGGTATACTTGCAAAATAAGGATGATGTTAATAGCCCTTAGGGTGGTGTCAAGGAATGATGGGAATTTATTACAGAGTCTCACACAGAGAGAATCCTCTATAAATATTAGCCTCTAGCAGGCCCCAGATACTATATGTATGTGCTTCTTAGGCATGTCCCTTTTCCTCTGACATGTGCTATAATACAATACTAATCATCATCAATTTACAAAAATAAAAGTGAGGATTAGAGAGGTTAAATGCATAGTCCAAAGCTAAATGGTCAGTATATGCAGAACTAGTACTCAAATCTCATCTGTTTGACTTTGAGGACTATAGTTTTTCTAGTAAATATTGAGAAATGCCCAGAAAAACCTCACAAAAGTAATGGGATTTAAGGTGGGATTTAAAAGATGAATAAATGGTATAGAACCATTTACCAAATGCTATTGCATAATGTTGAGAAAGATATGCAGTATCTTCCCTTGACTCTGTCACTTACAAACAGCGATTATGTGCTCTTTTACTTAACTTTCTAAGCCTAGGTCTCCTCAGCTTTATACTGTTCATAACAACTTTGCAAAGTTTTTGTGAATAAATAAATTATACATAATGAATTTTCTATTGTGTGATATGTAGATACCAAAAAAATAGAAACTGTTTCTATTGGCTAGAATTTGCATAGAGTATGTGAATGAAATAATCTTTCACCCTGGGTATAATTAAATGTGTGGTTTGTAGGTTAACAGTAGATGCAATTTTCAACCATATTGGGAACATGGGTAAATATATACTGTACAAATGGATCTGATAAGTTTTATTATTCATCCTTTTAAGCAGTTACCAAAAAAATGAATATGAGTGACGTTGAGATTGCAACTATTGACTATACTCCTATCAGTAGAGTGTGCTCAACATAATCTCTTCCAAGCTACTGGCATTATTGTTTGGTTTCTAGGAGTTAATGTAAAGTAGATATTTCTGCCTTACCTAGGGGCCATTAGAACATTTCAGTGGCCTTTAACAAGTAATATGGAATGCCAAAAGACAGAAGCGCCAATTTGGTAGCTTGTTCATTTCCATCTCAGCTTAATAAGAAACACTACTACCTGTTTTTCAAACCTTGGAGCACCAGGAATGAATCAAATATGAGAACTATAGTTAGCTCCCTTTCTGCCCAATCTCACTTCTACCTTTGTGAGCGTGAAGACAGAGAAAATCAAATTTCTTACTCCCTAGGGTGCCACTGAAAGTATATTTTATGACTTAAATGGCATGTTGCTTCAACTGCTATTCAGCTCTGGTTACTCTGAAATCATTCAGTTTAAGTTTTCCCTTGTGGACTTCCAAGTGTGTTAGGTGGTTACTAAAGCCCTGGACATCAGAGGCAGAATACAGCTATGATTGTAAAAGGCTCATTCACAGGTGGACACAGAACTTATAAAGCTGGAATGGTTTGTTAAGGCTGTTAGCTGTCCAATCAAGTTTGGACAAATATTAGCCTTGATGTGAATTATAGGATGTAAGAAAACAAGTGTTTTATTCTTTCAGGCAATTACTACATTCCTCAAATAGCGCTACCAGGAGAGTTGAAACTGCCAAAATAGTAATTTTATACACATATATTATCTTAAGTAGTGGTATATTTCCATATATTATAGATATACCTTAGACGTCTTAGGATTTATATGTTTAGTGATATAATAAAAGTGTTTTAGTGAAAATTATTCACTCAAATAGCTTATTTATTATAGTAGAAGCAACAAGAACTGAAGTCAAGAGAAAGGAATTTGAATGCTAATCCTCCAATAATACAATACATACAATAATACAATAATACAATTACAATAAAATTATTAATATGGAAGTGTATAGATCCCAAGCATATAATTCAGTGTATTTGACAAATGTCTACACCCATGTAGTCAACACAAAATCTTGACTAAGAACACTTCTATAACCCCAGGAAGTTCACAAGTCCTCGTTTTAAGATCCAAAGTTTCAGAGTTCAAACAGTATTATTTGTACTTTCAGATTTATTGATTGAAAGATACTATTTAAAGAAATTATTTCTAGTTCAGTAATTTTTATGTAATTTTTTTCAGTGATCATAATTGTATTACAATACTTGAGTAACAGAAGAACCATTCATATATATTTGCAATATTTCTTATTTGTTGTTATTTGTATCCCCCAAAATTTATTTGTTAGAAATCCTGACTTCCAATATAATAGGTGATATTAGGAATACTTTAGGTCATGATGGTGAAATTCTCATGAGTGAGATTAGCACCATTATATTCTATTTACATGATTGTGACCCAGAAGAGATTTTGGAAGTCATGTTGACAATGTCTAACACAAAATATTCATAGTTAGTCAACAGTGTAGCAGACTGAAATAACCAATGTTTATTGAACATCTGCTCTATGAGTAATTGGTAAGGGTATAGGCCTAAGAGCTATAGCAAGGGTATTAAAATAGAGGTCCAGATGCTGGAATGGTGTGATTTGGTGGAAACGAATTAAGAAGCAAGGCAGAAACCGAGCAACAAGATTGCAGCTCTTGCTTTCAAATAAGGTAGCTGGAAGCAAAGCATAATTTGTGTCACAGGGAGAACTCTGACCAGCTTGAAGTCAGTGTAGGAGATACTCAGCTACAGTAGGGCTCCAGGGAGAGCCCAGTTAAGAGGCACAATTAAAGGGTGATTGAGAACAGGTTTCAGGCAAATATTTCAGCCACATTTATTGATGACATTAAACTGCTGTTTTAGCAATTGTGTGTATGCATGTGTGTGTGTGTTTCTAGTGCTAATCAAGCTTCAGTGTGTGTGGATCTATTTTTAGAATGCACTTTTCATAAGTCTCTTTTGAATTTCTAAAACACTTCTACAAAAACTTTATCAAGAGCTTCCTTAGAAAAATAAACTCATTTCTAGCAACTAACCAGCAACAAGATGAAATTTAAAAACTCTTTCCTAAATCAGACATTACAATTACAATGGCTTTTTTTATTTTTTTTTATTTAAATTTTTTTTTTAAAGATTTATTTATTTGTGCATACAGAACTGGGGTACAGATTAGAGGCTCAGGGATGGCGAGAGGCTTCACCAGAGACAGAGTGGGGAGCAGAACAGGCAGATCTACGAAGTACACTGCTGAGGGGAGCAGCGGGTTGGTCAGGAGAAGTCTGCCACACCATGTGGTCACCTTCGGGGCAGGCGGGAATCAAACTCATGCGGAAGTGGCTTTAGCTTCTCAGTACTGTGCTTTAACCCGCTGCGCCACCAGAGAGGGCCCACAATGGCTGTTTTTAAAAGGGAGAATATATTTTCAATCAAATTGCTATTTAGACATTATCATTAAAATACATAGGATGATTGTTCTAACCTTTCATGGTATGAGAAATGCAATGCCATGTAGAGTCACAAAACGAGATATTCTTAGGAAAAGATTGTGAGGATTTATCAGTTGGAACAATAAATGCCTCTTCTCCCTCCCCCACCTCATTTTCCTTTTTCTCTCTTACATTTTTTTTTTTTACCAGAATTTAATAGAAAAACCTGGGCTGGACTTAAGAAAGGGGCACTGGATACCACAGCTTCAGGCAGTTTCTCCTCTAGTGTCCTTGAATAGAGAATGAGGATCTGACCGATACCACTGGGGGTGAAGAACAGTGTCCTTTCATTTAGTTTCCATTTGCAACTGTCTCAAATTCATAGCACAATTAAATGTGCTTCTTGGAAATCTTACTAAAATTGACTCTCTTTGAGTCTTATGTAAGTTTCCCATGAACTTGTTAAGAAATGATAAAATTAAAATTCTGGTCTATGATCTATTTTGGCAAATTCTTTAACTTTTCTCAGCCTGTTATTTCTTCTACAACCAAACAGTTTTGACTAGATTCACATTTTCAAAAATCCTGGCACTTAGGCAGCATGGAAAATTTTTTATATTCACCAGCTAAATATAGAGAACATGCTACATATGGCAAATTATAACACAAGAATATGTCAGTTTGATTTTTATGATCCATGAGTTTATTTTAAAATCTCTGTAAAAGTGGTTGGAAACATCAAAAATTATAACAAAATGTTAATGAAGTACTAAAATAAGATGAAGGATGGTTGTTTCAATACTTTCTACCTTTCTTTACATGTCACTCTTTTTCTCAGTCATGTCAAAGTAGGTATAATTTCCTGCTTTCAGGTGGCAACATACAGCAGTCTGGCTCAGACACTCTGGCTGGCAGTAATAACAACAGCAGACATTTGTTATCCTATATCAGGTCTTTCGCCAAACAAAAAAATCTTGCTTATTCTTTATCACACCCTCCCCCGAGCATATATACCATTTTACAGATAAGGAAACTAAGACCCTGAACTAACAGTATCAAGCTAATGAATGGTAGCCTTGAGAAGAGAGATTGGTTTGTCTGGGTTCAGCCTACTCTTTTACAATACATGTATCCTGCACCAAATAGAGGACAAGAGGATATTCTGGGATTAGGAGAGAAGAATAATACTGCAAGTAAAATAAATGCCTTGTGAAAATATATACTTTTTTAAAGATTTGTAATTTCACAAGTGTCAAAAATCTAGGTCTCTTT